ACTGGTTCTCAGGTGCTGACGTGGAAAGACAGACATGGACGATAAAAAGAACGATAGCAATCACATCACATGACAGGGAAAACAAAATGGAGAGGCGTTTCGCATTTCTGTCAATCGACCATCACCTTGTTGTTGGCATCATCGACGGAGTACCATGCGAAGACCTGGTTACAAGAGCAACCAGAGAATCAAATTGGAAACATCATTTTTGGCGGATACGAGGGCGAAACTTGTAATCAACATCACACGCCTGTTTGAACAGATCCCGGGGACCGCTGGTGTAGAAACCGAGCAGAATTTCTTTGAGAGCGGTTTGATCAGGGCTGCCGACGTTTAAAACGGATTGGCCTGCCGCCTGAAGATCAAAAACAAACTTCCTACTGGACACCAGAGTTCTAACTGGCTGTCACCGAAAAGACGGTTGCATTCAAGGAGTAGCCCCCTGGAAGTAAAAAGCCGCAAACTGAAATGCGGTACGAAGAAGCGAGCGAAGCAGTGACAAAGTGAAAACTGATTCTTGGGATACTTCGGGGCAGTAGTTAAATCGAATGTCCAGGTGGTCAACATGGTGCCTTGGCGCACCATTGGCCACATCTAAGACGGAAAGAAGGGCAGTTTGAAAGTCTTGAAGGACAAATCCAGTCGCTTTCATACCAAGGAAGAGAATATTCTTTCGCGATGGCGAGAGTTAAGAAATTCCTTTACCCAGAAGGGTTTGCCCAGATGAAGTTACAGATGAAATCATAGAAGCTATGAAAGGCTTGAAAAGTGGAAGGTTTTTGGAATCGGGAAACTCTCCTTGAGATACCTGAACAAGGCACATCGTGTCTACAGTCTATCAGACGGAAACTGCAAAGAACACACTGGTGAAATGGAGAACTGGAGTGATAGGTACTCTCTACTGAAATTCATAGGTCCGCTCCAGTTATCAGGGTATTAGCTTATAAAAATCTGTGACATCGTTGGAAAGGGCGTTAAAGAATAGTTTAATCTAAGATCCAAGACGACAAATGTGACTTCAGATCAGGCCGAAGTGCCTCTGATCAGTTTTTTGCTTTCTCAGAATGTTGAAAAATTGTGGGAGTTTGGTCAGTCGACTCATATGAGGTTTGTGAACTTGAGAAAGCCCACGCCTGGATTTCGCGTTATAAACTGCGGACGAGTCTGTAGACGGCCAGTTGCTAAGAGCCATCCAGTCGCTATATGCTGATAGCAGGTTTTGCGTCAGAGTAAATGGTGTTAATTCGAGATATTTCAGCATTAATACTAGTTTCTCCGAGGCTGCGTTCTGTTCCTTTTATATTTGTGTTGCACATGAATGGAATAGTCAGGAGCAGCCAAGGCGATGAGTGATCGGTGTAGGAGAAGTCGAGACGAGGAGGTTCCAGTCGGCAGATGGGCTTGGTTTGTAGGCTTTTTCGAAAGCTGATCTACAGTGCTATCTGGAAAGGTCTGCAGCTGATTGGAACATGATCAGTGAACGCATCTAAAACCAAAAGCCTAGTGCTTTCTCCTTCTCCTGCCCGTTTCTCTCTTCAGATTAACAGAGAGGCAGTGGAACAGGTGGAGAAATTTACGTACCTCGGGTCAGTGTTTACTGGTGATGGGAAATGGGGAAAAGGAGCCGACAAGGAAATTTGAATGACAGCTACGTGAACTAGTCCGAACCGTTGTGACTGAAGCAGAGCTCAGTCTGAAAACTAAGCTCTTCATAATCAAGTCGATCTTTTTCCCCATGCTTATCTACGGTGATATGTCGTAGACCATACTGAAAATCTTCGATTTCCGGTAGAGGCGGCTGAAATGGGCTTTCTGAGAGGAATCGTTGAATGAGGCGATGCTCAGATATCAGGAAGAGCCTTGGTGTACAAGCTTTGCTTCTCCAGATTGAGAAGTCAGAGTTGCGATGATCTGCAATCACGTCTTGCGAATGGTTCCAAGGAAAGCGAAACAAGTTATACTTGTTCAACCAGCTGGCTGAAGACCTAGGCACGACCAAGAATGACCTCGGGCGAATGTCTTGGCACATTCTGCTCCAGAATCAGGTGATTTTCTTCTGAGGCTCGACGCTGGAACCAGATCCGAATCAGGAACGTCAAAGGCACTGTGTGACGCGTCTGCATCCGGGACCAAAAAGAATAGGGCTTCATAAAACTGACTAAGTGACTTTCAAGGACTAAATCGACACTGCTATCCACTATGCTATTGCTCCACTGAAAAGTTCTAACATTTAGACATGGTGTCACTTTACTATCGATCTCTGTAATGCGAAACATGCCACTCGCTTTGAATATGCACAAAGCAAAATGAGACGGGTAATTCCCCTTAATAGACACGATTCATCAACGTGCAGGATTTGCTTGTAGAACAGTGTGAGTTACTAATGACAATGGATCCCATTGTCTGCGTCGAGTAATTACAGTTTAGATTTTGTACAAAGCTAAAGCATACTCGCCCCGGCCGCGCTTTCGTAATAAATATGTGATGTGATTAAACAACAATTAGTAACATTTTGCACGTCAAATTCGATTTTACTCTTGCGCCTTCAGAAACGTCAAAACACTATCGAGCAGCCTTGTCAAAAAGCTGGAAACACAAACGTTCTTGCGGCATTGGTAAAATCGTCCGAATCTCTGTTCACATTCTGACGAGTACTGGCACGATCTTGTGGGTGGTCGTACGGTATGGACCGGAGGCCGAGTTGAGGGTGGAAACTGTCGTTTTCTGCAAACGCCTTTGTCACAGAGGTAGCCGTCCCCGAACCGTCGACCGCAATCAACGTCGGTCAGGCATTCGCTTCTGGATATGGAAGGAGCTTTGGGTGAGCTGCAACAGTAGCCTCTGGTGCAGAGATAGTTTCCGTAAGGTGTACATTCTCTGTCGTAAAGGCACCGTTTTGGGGAACCTGCGCAAGGTATGTCTGGCAACTTGACAGGCTGCGGTGGACAACACCAGCCCTTGTTGCACTGATACGGGTGCTGACATCGGTTTCCTTGCAGACACCTTCCTTTCGACTCTCTACAAGACGCATATTCATAATCATCCTCGTTGACCTTAAATGGGCAACACCATCCGTTGATGCAGTTGTATTTGCCGTTGTATGATCGACAGTCATTTTCAGACGAACACGTTGCTTTGGCGCCGAGACAACGCGGAGGCGGTTTTGGATTACTGTTGATATTCACGGGACAGCACCAGCCGTTCTGGCAAGACTCCCTCAACTTACATTGAGAAGAGAAAGCACACTGCTGCACCGCGCCGGCACACT